GAGGCCTGGAGTATTTGGGTTGGAAAGGGAGGGTGTTTCTGCCAGAGGTGATGGCCAGGAGTACCGAGGCATGGAGGACCCTGCAGAGAGCAGCGGTCCTCACTTAATAGACGCACAGGCTGTCTCGGCCACATTTGGACCTCCAGGGCCTGAAGGCAGGGAGAAGGCTGAGCTATTGTTCGCTCAAGCTTGGGGATTGGTTGGATTTTGAGGTTATTCAGTCAGCAAGCATTGATGGAGGAGTCCACTGTGTGCTCAGGACTGTGCTAGGCATTGAGGCACTGAGGAGGGGGATCTGACACAGTCCTTGCCCTCGTGGGCTGGTGGGAGAGATGGACAGGCAAACACAGGGTGATTCCTGCACGTACAACAGCCTGTGGACGCGCAAATAAAGAAGAGAGTCTAGTTCTGTGTGGGGGTAAGAGGGATAGGAGGAATTAACCAAAAAGAAATCATTGGAAGAGTGTTAGGAGCTCACAGAATCAAGGGAGAAGCCTAGAGAACTGTGCAGGAATCCAGACATTTCTGGAAGGCCAGGCAGCAGGACCTTCAAGGACAGTTCAGAGCAGGAAGAAGCTGATCAGGACACACTTCTCAGGGGTACATGAACTCATTTGCCGGCTCTTTGTAACCATGTTCAGGACCCTATTTCCAGAGGTGGCGTATACTCAAGTGGCCTAGTTTGGGTCTGATGCTCTCCTTGTGGCTGGGAGAGATGCAGCCACTGGCGGCAGTCTCAGCAGGCCACACTCAATGGGAAGGAGTCATCCCTTAAAAAGAAAATTGGGGGTGAAGGAAGCTGTTAGGAAGAACCACAGAAATGTAATACAGGATGAATAAAAGTCCTTTTGGGGCAGGGGCTAGTGTTCCAGGCAGCACTCATCGCGGGCTCTGGAGCCAGACTTCCCATATGGAAAGCCTGGCTTCTGCTCTCACAGCTGTGTGACCTTGGACAAATTTCCTCCCTTCTTTTTGCCTCCATTTCTTTATATGTAAAAGGAGAGCATAATGGTACCTCTTGTAGAGTTACTGAGAAGATTAAAATTAGTTAATTCTTGTGCATTTTTAGAATAGTGCCTATCACATGGTAAGTATTCAGCAAGGCAGTTGTAATAATAACTGTAAATGATGACGATGATGATGATGATTTTATTATCATTCAAGGAACTATAGGTGGTTTTTGTCAATGTGCCTGGCAGGTAGAAGAGTGAGGAGGGATGAATCTGGGCAGATAAGGATGCTTTCGGAATTGGCATCAGCCTAAAGAGCTTAAGACTTTATTCACTAGGTGATGGAAAGCCATGTGTGATGGTTAAGTTTACGGGTCAACTTGACTGGGTCATGGGGTGCCCAGATATTTGGCCCAACATTATTCTGGGTGTGTCTGTGAAGGTCTTTTTGGATAAGATTAACATTTAAATCAGGGGACTGAATAAAGTAAATTGCCCTCCCTCACGTGTGTGGACCTCATCCAAGCACTGGAAAGCCTGAATAGACCTTTCCCTACCGAAAGAGAATTCTCCTGCCTGACGCAGCCTTCGTGCTGGGACCAGCCTTCCTGGTTCTGCAGCAGCTTCCGGCCTTCTGACTCAAACTGGGATATATCAGCTCTGCGGATTTTGAACTTTCCAGCCTCAATAGTCATGTGAGCCAATCTCTTATAATCTCTTTCTCTCTCTCTCTCTCTGTATATGTATCTGATTGGTTCTACCTCTCTGGAGAACCTTAATACATCTGTTATATGCCAAGCATTCTGTCACGGTGCTGAGACTATAGCAGGCAAACATGACACAGGCTGTCGTGTGCCATCAGAGTTCAGTTTGCCTGGACTCAGCAGCCAGGGTTGGGTGATGTGATGCGGGGTAGTGGGCAGGGGCCAGAGCAAGAGGGGGTCTTGGAGGCCATAGAAAGCAGTATGGATTTTATACTGTAGACCAGTGCTTTTCCAGAGTTCAATGCCACTTTCATGATTCTTGGCATATCCAGATTTCAACTGCATTCTTACTTGCTTGATACATTTTTAAAAATCACCTTTCTGCCCGTTCATTTTTTAAACTGTTGTAAGCCATAATACCTATGAGATTATGGAATTTTTTTTTCTCATTACACATGAAAATAAATATAAAAGCATGACAATAAAAGGATGTTCCATATACTGCTTAAAATATTTTCATCTTTGTCCCATATTTTGGGAAAAGTTGTCATGAGTGATAGGGATGGGATGGACATCAGGGGTTTTAGGCAGGAACGTGACATGCTGAGATTTATGTTTTGGGAAGATTCACTCTGGCTGTTGAGTGGAGAATAGATTGTCAGACAATAGATTGCTGGGAACTCTTGCAGGTGTCTGCCTGAGTTGTGATAAGAGTCTGAACCGAGGATGTGCAGTGGAAGTAGAGAGGAGGGGACAGATTTGAGGGGCGTCCAGAGGTAGAATTTGATAGGACTTAGAGACCAGTGGCGTGGGGATTGAGGAGAAGGCAGGTTGTCTCTGTGATGGCTTTGGTTTGGTTGCCTGGGAAGACAGAGGTGTCTTTACAGAGGCAGGGAGCTCAGGTGGGGAGGCTAAGGTCAAATCCAAAGAGCAGGATATGCGAAGCAAGGGTTCCCAGGGCTACAGGGTTTGACTACAGATTTAACAATGATGCTGTGAGGTTCATTGTGCCTTAGTAGCAAACCCATGCTTTAAATTAAATTAAAACATTTTTAGTTTAACTCATCTGAGTGGACCCACACAGGCATTCTCTTCTAGTTATTACTGAGAATGACTAAGTATTATAATTGAGCTGAAAATAATCTCCCGCCCATACTTGCCGGGTTGGTTTCTAAGTATTACTTGGGTTTTTAAGTAATGTAACAAAGTTGTGTTCTTTCCAAGTGTTAATTTTAAAGACTGCAGATGGTAACCATCTGTTACACGACTAGCATTTTACAATATTTGATTAGCACTTTATATAGTTTGGGAAAGCCTGCCAGTGGAGTCTGCCCATTAGTCTTCGGTGGTATGTCCTCTGTGGTAGCCCTTGAAGGTCTCTGTCCCCATGATATGTGGCTCCCCTCTGTTTGTTGTGCTGAAGTGTGACTAGTCGGACTGGCAGGTTGATATACGTGGCAAGAGAACCTTGAAGAGCCCTGCCCTGTTTGCACTCTTTCTTAGAGCTGGAACCATCAGAGCTCACTGGTGAAGCAGAATTTGGGAGGGCTAGATCTGTCCATCAGTTAGGATTCTTGGGTGCAAGTGACAAAACAACAAACCCAAACCTGCGGCTTGTTGGGACCCTAGGCGAATCTGGGACTGCCTTCAGGTGCACGGTTTTGGGACTCAGGTGACTTCTTTAGACTTGCTTTCAATCAGGGTCTCAGCTCTGCCGTCTGCTGTGTGGCTTCAATCTCAGGCTTCAAGAGGAGGCAAGATGGCTTCCCTGAGGGTGAAGTCCTCTCAGCATCAAGTCTAGAGGGAAAGAATGAAGCCTTTCCACTCACTCCTGCAGAGGTGTTGAGATTTGCTCTGATTGGACCAGTTTGTCATGTGCCCATCTGTGAACCAGTCCTTGTGACCATGTGGATAAAGGGCTCTGATTGGTCAGGCCTGGAGTGGAGCCCCACCCAGACCTTGTGGGCTGAGACCTGAAGGGGTAGATTCCCAGTGGCTCATCCCAGGATGTTACCAGGTGGGAGGATTGGGGAGGGGCAGGCAGCCACCTGCCCACCCCAGTGTCAGAGTGAAAGGCCATAGTACCAGGAGCAATGGGCAAATTTAAACTGTGGAGACAGACATTTATTGTTGCCAGGAAGATCATATGCTGGAAATGGAATGAAGGAGCCTCTGAAACTAGCTCCTTAGCAAGTGTCCTTTCCTAATTTGAGATAGATTAGTATTTAGATTTAGTATTCGGGTTCTCTTTTTTTTTTGAGTGGGTGGGGATTGTCTTCTTTTTATGTTACTTTAAAACTAAGGCCCCTCACTTAATCTTGGTCTGTTAGCTTCTCCATTTGGAACACAGTGAGCTTCTCTCTCTCAGAGAGGGGAAATCTGTGCAGAGGAGATAACAGATTCCATTCAGTCCAGTTCAACAAACAGGGCACGAAGCACTGGGGCCCGGGCCAGGCTCAGTAGGTCTGGCAGCTGATGAATCCCCAGCAGTGTGGGAAGCACTGTTACAGTTCCAGGAACGTGGCACTGCACCCCCCCAGGGAGGGACAGTCACCAAGGGCTTCCCAGAGGAAGAGACACTGACCTGGCCCTGGAAGGATGGACACAAGTTCCTCACATGGAGGAGACGGGGAAGGGAGCTCCACGCTGAGGGGGCTGTGTGTGCAAAGGCACAAGAGGTGACCTACTTGCCGGCTGAAAGGGTCTGGGAGAAGTTCCTTGTGTCTGACTCTGGGGTGAGCCGAGAAACTGGTTCCAAAACTCATTCTGGCGTCACTGTGGGGGCGACTGGGGGAGTGACAGGCTTCAGGCAGGGGCACCAGGCAAGATGCTGTAGTAGAGGTCCAGGCAGGATCCTCTGGAGCATCTTGTTAAATTGCAGGTTCTGTCCAGTAGGTCTGGGGTGACATTGCGTTTCTAATTAGCTCATGGGTGATGTCGATGCTACTGGTCCAGGACCACACTTCGAGTAGCGAGGCTCAGACCTCTGGGCATTCTTCCCTCTGTTGCCTGAAGTCAGCTGGTTTCTCAGTGACTGTGACGCAGGATCTTCCTGCTCATCTCCCTTATTCCTCCTGGCATGACACCTCCTCATCCACCACCTGAAGCTGGTCTCCAGAAGGAAGACGACAGGATGAGGCTGTGCCTCTCACCTTTGGTCCTTGCAGGCCTGCTCTGAGCTGAGACTTCTGCAGGACCGAATGCCCAGCCTGAGCTCGGGGTCTGGGTTCCCTGGGGACCTGGCTCCGTACTGTATCAAATACATCTGCTTCCCAGAGCGCTGGAAGCTGGGGGCCAGGGCTGAGTATTGGCTTGATGCCTAGAAGTGATGCTCTGTGTTTTCCAGGGACAGAGGCCTTGCAGATGGCCCCGCTACCGGGGGCGGAGCTGGTCCAGAGGCCGCTGCAGCTCTACCGATACCTGCTGCGCTGTTGCCGGCAGCTGCCAACCAAGGGCATCCAGGAGCATTATAAGCATGCTGTCAGGCAGGTGGGAGTAGGGTCCACTGGGCTTGGGGTGGGGGGCTTCTTGTAACAGGGGGCCTGTCACAGGGTTGGGGGCCAGGGGCAGTGGGCAGGGATGGTTTTTCCGGTGGTGGGGTTGGGGGTGGAAGTTCCGTAAGAGCCACCGGAAAGCAGTGCTGGCCAGCCCAGCTCCTCTCTCTGGTTTCTGTTCCGGAAACAGGATGCACCCAGCACAGCAGCTCTGTGCCAGGGCTTGAATAAGGCAGCTAAACAGATAATTAAAATAGAGTGTGAGACATAACATCATTTTGACAGGCATACCTGCCAATAATGCACAACCTGAATTTAATCATGAGTAAACATCAGGTAAACCCAAACTGAGCAACCGTCTACCACATAACCAGCCTGTGCTCAGCAAATGTGTCAACGTCCTGAAACACAAAGGCAGACGACTGCTCTGGTTTAAAGGGGACTAAAGAGATGTGACAACTAAGTGTAAGGAGTGATCCCAGATTAGATCCTGGGCCAGAAAAAGCAATGATTGTAAAGGACATTATTGGGGAAATTCATGAAGCTGGAATATGGACTGTAGATTAGATAACAGTATTATATCAGTGTTCAATTTTCTGAAGTTGATTACTGTGGTTATGTAAGATAATGCCCTTGCTTACATACCCAAAGTATTCAGGGGTTAAGGTCATGATACCTGAAACTTTAAATGCTTCCAAAAATTTTTATACAAACCCATACAGAGAATGATAAAGTAAATGTGGCAAAATAGTAACAGTTGGTGATTCTGGTAGGGAATTCTTTCGTAATATTCTTGCAGCTTTTCTGTAGATTAAAAATTATTTCCAAATAAAAAGTTAAAAGCTGAAGTTTATATAAATATAGTATGGAAAGTAAAAAAATAGAGGTAGTAACAGAGGGTTGTGGAAACATAGAGAAGGAGTAGTTAGCTGTCTGAGGGAGTCTGGGAGGACTTCCTGGAGGTGAGCATTTGAGGTGCTCCTAAAGATAAGTAGGAGGACGTGTGGGGTTGAGAGTGACATATCAGAGGAAGTAACCAATTCTTTTGAAGGACCATGAGAGCCACACCAGTGAACCTGAATCTCATGTTGCTTTTCAAATGCGAACATCTGGTCAAAGCAAACAGCAGCCCTGCATTGCTCTGCTTTGGGCCTGGCTGGATTTTCCAAAGCCACCCTCTCCACTGCCCCTCCCTTCCCTGCATGGCTTTCCAGCATGGGTCTGGAGAAACTCTGCTCTTCTCTGTGGTGAAGCCATGCAGAGAGCTCAGCCTGGTGAAAGCAGCTTCCTGGGAAGAGCAAACGAAGCAGAGAGATGGAAGTTTCCCTTAGGCCTCTGCTACCCGATAACCTTTGGGCCCAGCTTGATTTGGGGTAGCTTGGGGCCAGTCTTCCTTTTCACGCATGCGCTGCTTGTAGGAGTACAGGCTGTGTAGTCAGATAGTCCAGGATTCAAATGCTGGTGCCATTGCTTAACGGCAAGGTAGAGTTTCTGAGCCTGTTTCCTCATCTCAGGGTGTGATCATCGTAACTGTCTGTGGAGGGGTAAGAGTGATGCTGAGTGTACAGTGCCCACAGTGTGCCTGGCCCACAACTGCTGCTCTGAAGCTGCCAGTCCTGTGATTTTTGCCTAGTCATCTTTCCCTATGCTTAAACCTCCAGAGTTTCCGAGTTCATTCGGATGAAGACAGCCCTGAGAGGATCCAGCAGATTATTAAAAGAGCCATTGAAGATGCTGACTGGATCCTGAACAAGGTGAGTGCTCAGCTCCGACTTCCACCTGCGAGTTGGGGTTGAGGGCTGTAATCTCCGTGACCACCAGGGGTCGCCCCTGCCCCACAGTTGAGACCGATCAGCGCTGTGGAGGCCCCCCTCCCCTCACCAGCCGCTCCCCTCCCCTCCCCAGAAGCCCAAAGGTGATGGCAGATGCCCTTCTGGTTGCGTTTTCTGCAAGGGGGTGCGCATCCTTAATCCCTAAAGGCAAACTTCTGCCTCACGGTGCTGAATAAGCTGAGATGGGGCCACAGGAAGAAGGAAGAGAACAGTCTTGCTGGTAGCAATAGTGCCAGAGCTGGCAGCAGCCTTGCGACGGCTCAGAGAGGAAAGCTGGGTGAGGCAGGGTTACTTAGGAAACATTCGAGTATCTGTTTTGGTAGAGGCAGGAAGGGAGTCAGGAATACAGACAGGCTTGCTGGTCCTTACACTTGGTATTAGAACAGCCTTGAGAGCTGGAGCACACCCCACCACTCTGTCCTTCTGAATCAGATCTCCAGAGGTGGGGTCCAGGATTTGTTTTTTAAACTCAGTGATGGGACTAGTTGGTTTCTGAATGTTGTCTTCTATAACCGGAGATTTTTTGTTTCTTCTGAACGAGACTCAGCTTGATGGGAAGACTGGACACACCACAATTTTCAATTCCAATATTCCCAGTGTCTTTCTCATCCTCTCTCCCCAACCCCATCAGCTTCCTTTTCTGCTGGAACCAGCTAGAGACATGACCGTCTGATGCCTGCTGACCGGGTTCCACTGCCTCTAAGAAGCCCTTGCAGGAGGCGGCTGAGGCCTAGTGACCACAGTTCTCAGGACTTCCCGGGTCCTCCCTCCCCCCGCTGGCTTCCCTCACCCGCTCGTAATGATCTCTCTGTCTTACAGTATAAGAAACAAAACTGAGACTCCAGGACGTAGTGAGTGCAGCTGCCTTGGAGACACTGATATTGAGAGCCCTCGCTTCGCCTGGCCCTAAGCAGCAGCAGCAGCAGTTTTGGAACATCCACTAGCCTCGTTGGCTGGGAGCAGGAAGTCAGGGGTAGGAGAAGCAGACATTTGCTCAGACGGATCTTCTTGCCATGTTTGTGTCTCCCTTATGTTTGCTTTTCCAGCTGGTTATGATGTGAGATTTGGGGAGAATGTGTTTTCTCACTTTGCACTGAAAGCGATTCATTTACTCTGGGCATCATTCTTTGAGACCCAGAGCTGGCGTGCCCTCATATAGCTTCCTGTACAGAGGGCAGGGCATGGGTTTAACAACCAGACAGATCTGGATTTGAATCTCAGCTCAGCGGCTTTTCAAGGGTGTTGGCTTCAAGTCCAGTTTCCTCCTTCATTAGGATTAGATAAGATGAAATCAAAGAGCCTGACGTAGGACATGGTATGCGGTGGGGCCAGTAAACATCCCTCTGAGGAAGCCGTCCTCTGCTGCTCCCACGGTGCTCACACATCTCTCTAGCTCTCTCCACATCAGGTCTTAGTTCCTTGTGGGCTGGTCCCGTCCCTGCCTATCACCCCAGGCTTCTGATCCCCTGCAGTTGCACTGTGCCCAGCAGTCCGCCCAGCAGCTGCTCTTCCTGACACCAACCCAGAGAGGCAGAAACCCTGGTCCTTGCCAGAATGGCGGAACAAAGAACGCCAGAGCAGCTGCAGTAGATGCCGGCGCGTTCAGGCTGTGTGAACCTGTGATCTGTTTTGAGCGGCCCTTGCCTACTTTACTCCATCTTAGCAGGAAAGCGGGGAGGAGCAAGCCAGCAGTCATGAGGTTATTGTGAGCCTGTAATCGGTGGAGAATGCAGACCTGGGTCACATCCCAACTCTACACAAGTTACTCTTGGGTCACTTACCTCCTCTCCTTCAGCTTCTGTTTCCCCGCCTGTCCAGCGGAGTAATGACCATACCTACCACAGGGGGCCACGGTGAGGAGTCATGAGCCCTAATGTACACCGAGTGCTTCACCCAGAACCCGGCCTGGGGAGCCAGGGAGAAGGGAGCTCAGAGGGGTTGAGCCCCTTTTCAAGGTCACAAAACTGCTAAGCCAGGTCTGTGAATGTACCAAACACTATAGATTTAGGAGGGAAAGGAGAGCAGCCGGGAAAGAGGGAAGGAAGGGTGAGAGGGAGCGAGGGAGGAGGGAGGGAGAGCAGCAGGGAAAGAGGGAAGGAAGGGTGAGAGGGAGGGAGAGAGGAGGGACGGAGAGCAGCAGGGAATGTCGGGGTAACTGGCCGGAGTGGGCAGAGCAGCCAGAAGATACAGGGAGAAGCCACACCAGGATGCGAGCGTCCCCCAAGGACTCTCAACCCGAGGATGAGCTAGCGCACATCTGTGTCCTTGCAGTCATGTGACTTAAAGTGACTGAGATACCCCCACGAGCACTCAGCTGATCAGCAGATAATGAAGTAAATACATCAATTTGTGAAAGCTCTGGTGTATGTTGTTCCCTACTGTGTGCTGTCATACTAGATGCTGAGGATTAGAGATAGGCGAACAGAAAGCTGCCTGGGAGGGATCATTCTTCAGAGTCCTAATTCGTTAATTGAAATGTCCAATCCTAGGTAAAAATAAAAATTCAGAACTTGAATTAAGGTGGTGGTATCTCCCCTCTTCCAGTTGGGATCTGCTGCAGTGGGAAACCCGCTGTCAGAGAAGGGGGCACGGGTGGGCGGCCGTTGCTAACTTGGGGGTGGGGCGGGAGTGGAGGGGCATGCCAGGCAGAGGGGCAGTTTAAGCAAAGGCTCCAAATAGCACCGCTTGCTCAGGAGCTCCCACGCTGTTCAGTGTGGTTGAGACCCTGTGGACGGAAGAGACAGTTCTACAATCATCTCTTTATGTAATTGTCTCCCACCTGAGAGTGAACCCCTGGAGGGCAGGGACCATGTGCTGGTAAGTGCAAAAATCTTCTGGGCCAGCTGTGTGCCTGCTGCCCAGGTGGTGAGCTGTAAGCATTTGTTGAATGGGAGAATGATAATACCAGGCAACCTGATGTCTCTCTTTTGTTAGAGTGTTTATTGCTTTTTAATAATGGGGGAGGCTGTGAGGTGGTGATTATTTCTTGGCCAAGCACTGGTGTGTGTGTGTGTGTGTGTGTGTGTGTGTTCTTATCACTGATGCTCAAATAAAGTCTTAATATTATTATGAAAGTAGTTTTGACTTTGAGAATCCCCTGAAAGGATTTCGGGGATTCCCAGGAGTCCATGGACCATACTTGAAAATCACTGTTTCTATAGGTACACTGAATAAAGCAGAATACAAAGTAGATTTTTACCTCCCTTCTTGATACCATGCCTTTGTTAATTTGGCCTAAGATTGTATTCATTTTTTAAAGAACCAGTGTCATCTGATTGGTTTGCATTCGGCAGTTAACATGAAAAAAATCTTAGAAGACACGATGCTAGGGGAAGCAAAGAACACCTTCATAGGAGAAGTAATGCTTAAGCTCAGTCTTCGTAGAGAAAAGAATGTTTTTTCAGGTGAATAAGTGAGGCAAGTAGAGCATTCCAGATGGGAGGAGAAGCATGGGCAAATATGTATGGCATGAACAGGTTGGGGTGCTGGGAGAGTGAGGAATTTATTTGCAAGGTACAAGGGTGCCAGAGAACATCATGGACACGGCAAGAGAGAGGTCAGCAGTGGGGTTAGGAAAACCCACATCAGGTTGGGAATAGGAGTAGATGAGATTGGCGATTAGAGAGGCCTGCTTTGGGCCAGTGGCTGAAATTAACAGGCATAGGGGCTCTTGGGCTCAGCCAACCTCAAGGTTATGAGCCCTAGTCAGTTTCAGAGTTCTAATGAAGCCCCTCTTGTGCATTCATTACTCAAAGCTGAAAGGGAACGGGTGCCTCCCCAGACGTCAGTGGAAAGGGATTCATTCTCTTCAGAGATGCTGTGTCTCCATGGTATTGACAGCAGCTGATTAACAGGAGGTAGAGATAGAGATATTCTGATGGTTTGGAGAAACCTGATCCTGAATGAAGCTATCCAAGTGCCCACTCAAGGGCATGCCCCTCCTTTGGGACCCACTGCTACCCATATAGACCCCTGTACTTCTCAGACAGGATGGTATTTATGGAATTAAAGGTCTCTCTGTTCCACAAGATAGTGAGTTCCAGTGGCAAGGATCATGACTTCAACCCATTCAGCAAATGTATGTGAAGCTCCTACTGTGTGCAAGGCACCATGCCAGGTGTTGGTAGGGTACCTAAATTTAAGGCCTTAACCTGGATCCCAATTACATTTTCCTATTGATTTTGGCTCATAAGGCCAGCGTGTCAGAATTAGTAGAATGTGGATCTAGCATGATAATCACACTTCATTTCTTCATTTCCTCTGCTGTTTTGCCGTTTATTCATTAATTCAGTGAACATTGAGCACCTCTTGTGTATCAAAAATTCCATCTATAGTTTCATTAAGGTTGTGTTCTGGGTGGTTTAATTGCTCTGCTGATTGATCTGTGTGGTTTCTGGAGATGTACGGAGAGATTTCATTTTGGGCACCCAGGATTATCCATAGGAATCTAGTTTTTTAATCAAACTAAAAAAAATATTTTTTTTTCCTGAAAGTTTTCTATTTATAGACATTAGCCCACATTTACACACACACACACACACATAACATTTGCTGCTGACAAGTCTGGCTGAGAAACGGTGAATGACTTTGAAAACATGTCTTTTCTGACATTTTCACCTTACTATTACCGTAAATCTTTAAAATTCTTGAATTGGAGTGATAAGGAGAATTGCCCAAGGCTCCAACCTGTCAGTCTAGCCTCAAGCTCTGGCCTCTAGGCGTGTAGGTCAATGAACACTCTCATTCTTTTTTTCATCTTAGCTGCAGTGTTGATTTCATGTTCTCTCTGGTCTAGGTCCCTGTGCATAATTGGCTGTGTCAGAAACTGCTGCTTGAGGAGCTTGGAACCCTCACACACTGCCGGTGGGAGTGTAAAGTGGGGCAGCTGCTTTGGAAAACATTTTGGAAGTTTCCCAAAATGTTAAACATGGAGTTACCATATGACTCAGCAATTCTACTCCTATGTATATACCCGAGGGAAATGACATACATCCACACAAAACACTTGTACACAAACGTTCATGGCTTTATTCATAATAGCAAAAAAAAAAAACCCAGATAACCCAAATATCCATCAACTGATGAATAGATAAATAGATGCAGTGTACTTATACAATAGTATGTAATTCAGTAATAAAAAGGAATGAAGTACCGATACACCCTGCAACATGGATGAACCTTGCAAACGCTATGTTAAGTGAAAGAAGCCAGTCGCAAAATACAAAGATACATTGTATGATTCCATTTATGTGAAATATCCATAATAGGCAAATCTATGGAGACATAAAGTAGATTAGCCTCGGGGCTGGGAGGGGTAGGTGTTGGGAAGAGTGGGGTTTCCTTATGGAGTGATGAAAATATTTTAAAATTAGATTATGGTGAAGGTTGTACATCTCTGTGAATATGTTAAAAACCACTGAATTGTATACTTTAAATGGGTGAATTGTGTGGTATGTGAGTTACATCAATAAAACTCCTAAAAATAAAACAAAATGCCAGGAGAAAACTGAATAAATCCCAAAGCATCTGGAAGGTGATACCCATACTATCATTAATTTCTAGAAAATTCTCTCCTTCTTGATTAGTTTCTTTTGAAGGGAACAATTGTCTTCTCTCTCCAGTGGTGTCCAAGGCTGAATTTTTCTACTGGGAATGAGGGCCAATCCTCATGTCTTCTTTACCCACTGTGCTCACTTTGTAATCCTTTGGGGCGGTTCTCACTTTTCTTCAGAGAGAAACAAGCCTAGAGAGGCTAAGACATTTGTCCAAGGTCACATCTCAAGAACACACATCTCGGGCTTCCCTGGTGGCACGGTGGTTGAGAATCTGCCTGCCAGTGCAGGGGACACGGGTTTGATCCCTGGTCTGGGCAGATCCCACACGCCACGGAGCAACTAAACCTGTGTGCCACAGCTACTGAGCCTGTGCTCTAGAGCCCGCAAGCCACAACTACTGAGCCTGTGTGCTGCAACTGCTGAAGCCCGTGCATCTAGAGCCCATGCTCCGCAACAAGAGAAGCCACCACAGTGAGAAGCCCGCGCACAGCAACAAAGAGTAGCCCTGCTTGCCGCAACTAGAGAAAGCCCGTGTGCAGCAACGAAGACCCAATGCAGCCAAAAATAAATATATTTAAAAAAAAAAAAAAAGAAAACACACATCTCCCAGGTTGGGCCCTTTCTAGAGGTTGAAGGCTGCTCTTCCAAAGACTCTGAGATGATAACCTATCTACTTTAAGTTATATTTAGAAAAAGTTTTTTATCCTCATCCCCTCTTAGAAGTCTAAGAGGTACAAAGGACTTGGGGAAATGAAGTGACTTTGGATTACAAAAAGTTTGAGTTTCCCAACTGGAGTGCCCTAGGCTTGTCACCTCTACCTGAAGCAACCTTAACCCATTATCCCAGTGTGCCCTACTTATATTGTCACTTTTTATGTGTGTCAGGGAATGAAAGTGTTGGAAAGCTCTGGGGTCTTCTCCTTGGCATTTTCTGTGGCTGAAAGCACTGAACTGAGGTGTCTCTCTGATGTGTATATGGCTACTACAACCCAGAAAAAGACATCTGATCTTATTAAAAGATGGGCTAATAGCTATGTGACTTAGGGAAAGTTACTTAATCTTACTAAGCCTCGCTTGTCTCATTTGTACAATGGAGATAAAAATAATAGCTGTCTCCCAGTGTAGTTCTGAGGATTCAGTGAGATGCTGCACCTAACATACTTAGCTGGAGCCTGGTACACAGGTAGCACTAAATAAATGTAGCTCCTATGCTTGTTAATTGCATGGGGTCTCCCTGCACTGGAGGTTGTCTGGAGCCAGTTTGGGCTTTCAGGCTGATTTCTTTCTGTACATTATTTCACTGATTAGGGAGAACAAACTCATTTTAACTTCTCCCTAAAAGCTCCCATCATAACAGAAATCTGAGGAGAGAGAAGGAATCATGTCTTCAAGTCACAGGTGGGGGTTTGCAGGTCAGGGCACATGACAGAAGCTACCAGGGATTCTATTTGCACGAAGACCCTCAAGCCCTTCTGGGAGGCATGAAGACA